CGGTTATTTTCAAATTTTCTGAAGCCCTACGAAAGCTTTGCTTCCAAGATACTCCATCGCCTCATGAAAACTAAGTTTTACTAAGTCTACAAAATTACACCAGAGGAACAACGCACCGCATTCTTGCACACTTAGTTACATAAAATTCTGCATAAGAACTATTTATTACAAGGCGTTACCAACATACCTATTTTCTCCCTGTTTTACGCACATTAATTAAAAATGAGATATTAAAATAATTAGATAAAATATAAGTAAAAGTTCAATTCTACCCAAAATATTACTTTCATTTTGACATAATTATAAAATACTAACGACACATGACATAGGGCCTATTTAGTAAACAAACAAACACGTCATACGGTAAATAGGGTAATTTCTATAGGTTTGTTTCAAAAAGTGTGAATAAACCACGACTAGATTACATATACTGGTTGCATGTTGTATGTACCAAGTATGACAGGTGGTTTATGGTTTTATTGTAAAATTATGTTCTAAGTGGAATACATGAAAGTTTAACGCAAAAAGAATGGAGGATACGTCTTCTGGAATAATTGGGTTTGACTATGTAGGGGACACGGCCGTTTGTTTTGCGTGCATACGTCTACGTTGACGCGCTTGGATGCCTTGACGTTTATTCTACGTTCCCGGCACCGCTTCACTCGATCATATGGGGTTTCATGGGTATCACTGGATTGCTTTTAAGATGCTCTTTCCAACCGTATACGATTTTTGTATTTCAACTTGGCTTTTTGACGAGTATAGGCCGACATTGTGTTACTTTTTTTTTTAACATTGAACGCATACAATTTCACTATAACCACACAACACAAATGCTTTTATAAACATTATTGATTTATCTTGACTAGAGCTGTCGATTAAATCTTAAACGAGCGTCGTAGCTTCTCCTGGTCAAAAGTTATACTACGCGGAAGTTATTAGACGCGGCGAAACGAACTCAAAATGAAAATCCCCCCCCCCTTTTTTTATCATGGCCACACGCAATGCTTCGCAGTCCCCACTCAAATCTTAGAAAATTCTCTGATCCTTTGGCAATCGAGTGGTGTAATTGAATTTTGAATGTAGACGATAGATTAGGAGCTACAATGCCAAACTGTATCCCCCGATTTGGGTATCATCGGATTTTCTGGATTGCCTCCCACTATGGTCGCAAATTTAAAGACGTATTCAAGTCAAAAAAAAAGCAGTAAAGATATGTTATTCTCACGAATGCTCCGACAGTCGTAAACAAGCTGCACTGAGTTACAAGCTGAGAATCAGATGTTAGATATATCTACAGAGCAAATAAAAGCTAGGAATTGCCCGAAGAAAATATTGCTACTATTTGTTTCCTTATACAAAGAACCGACATGCTTTTAGATGGCACAATCCTGACTCGGAAAACTTTGTTGAACTGATTTAACTTCCGAAGACAACCTTGAACTAAAGTAATAGATAAACCGATACAAAGAAACTTTTTTGATGGTAGGATCAGAATTACATTTTTGGACTATCATTTGAAAGTGTTAATACAAGTATGCAGTAGCATACGTTCGCAAAATCATCCGATATTGAACATTGTTTGTGTTCGCACTCAACCTCAATTGAACAAGTGTTTCAGCTGGATTGCTAAATATACCCGTCCACATTAAAGCTGGTTAGTACAGTACTGGGAAAACAATATCCAAATACATAGCACCTATTATTTTTTATTTTATAATCCAGTTACAGTCTCAAATTTAAGAGGTCAAGCTTATGATGGAGCACCCAACAGAGCGAAAACGTAAATGGAGTTCAAGCAGTAATGTCAAAACAGCAGCCACTAGCCATTTTGTTAATTGTTGATGCTGACTGTGCTAATCTAGCGATACGAGATACTTGCACTGCCTCTGCTTCTGTTAAAAACAGCTTGGATTGGGCTCACCAGTTATCACCAGGGTGATATTTTTTGTCAATTCCTGACATTACATGATAATAGAACTGATCTCTTTATTTTTTCATAGCTCTTTGCCAAAAAACTATGTCATTTCAAACTACGAAAAAAATGTGTTCCTAGACCTAACTTTTGCCGGAATGATGGCACCTCCCTTTTATAAAGCGCAAAATAATTTATTATGACGTCTTTGATTCTCAGATCTATCTTTAAGAACCATGGGGTATTGTTAATACTACTGCTGGTCATATCAAGCTCTTCTTGCTAAACAGAACACGTTTTCAGTGCACTAAGGAGGATAAAATACATCTTCTCATTAGTATGACACAGTTGAGGCTTAATTGTGTATTACGCACACAAATATATTTTAAAAAGTCTGTAAGTAACGCAGAGAAAATTACGTATTATGAAAGAAAATGTGTGAAGATTTCTGTTATAATATTAACTTACGTGTACAGGTAAAAATGTGTAGTAAGGCATACTGCACAATGAAGTGTATTTCGTTAGCATAAGATAACACTCGATAAGAAAGTTTGGTAACAAAAAAATACAAGTTGATTGTTCTGATCTTATATTTTTAACATTTTTTGGTTGTGTTCACCATTACTATCGTTTTTGCTTTACTCATAACAATAAATTAACAGAAAATAAATTGAGGGAAAGTGAGGGTTATTATATACATCATTTTGGTAATACATAGGCCTAGACACCCTGAAAAATTCGCGGATTCGTCAATATCTGGGTCAATAACAAATATACAACAAATTGCTTGCCCAATCAACGCCATCCACGCAGACAGTAAGCAACCAATGAGAGGTCGTTAAAAGATTTTTTGAACCTAAAAATCTTAATTCTAATCTACTATAAGTCTGTGAATTCGGGAAATTTTCAGTTCTATAGCAATACATCATATTGCCAAGCGTATTTTGAATTCCCGTCCAAAGTTCATATGTCGCGCACGCTAATGCGTCCCCGGTCTTATGCCGGACGGCCAATTAGGAAACGGCTTCTTAATAAACAAAAAAGCAGTATGTATTCACGACTTATGCAGAACACTTTAGCTGCAAACAGCGTGAGATTTTAAATAAACACTGCCTAAATAAAATTAATTTCTCAATCTCATTTCGGCGTAGCAATCACGGGAAGTTGAGGTGGCACATAGAAGCCGTTTGTAAACATGGACTCTACAGATCATAATTTATCTTTATTTTCGTACATGAAATGCCATTTTTATATAACAAATACAACGAACGTGATGAGAAGTACAGGTAGGAACCGCCTTCAAGAACGCCCTATCGAAAAGAGTTTATGTTCCATATGGAATTACGGTACTTGGATAAAATCAACCGCTTAAACTGTTTTAGGTCTAACTGGAGTTATAACAAATAAAAGGGAAAAATAGTTTTAAATATTTGACTTCAATTTACCGACTTATTTTTTATTCTCGGCAATAATGCTAAACAAATCACATATTGGGGTTTTACTTTCATCATTGTTTCTAGAGGCAATATTACACGATACCAGATTCCGTAAAAGCTTGTGCAAGGTCCGCCATAGCGCCCGGTATACGGACTAGTGTGGCACCCGTCATGGCATTCTCGTACCTGGCCAATCACATCGCAGTCTCAGAACGTAGGGCGCTTCCCGTGGCTATTACTTAAAACGAGTGGAAGAAACCGAAAAGAACGCCTTCATCTTGATTATACATCCGAGAGGTTGAAATTCTATCAAATAGATTTAAAATACGACAACGACGAATAATATTGGTGATGACACATTTAATTGTTTTTTAAAACCGTTCTAAATACTTAAAACATTACCTACTGTATGAAAAAAAATTAATTAAATGATTTAATGTATCATAGGTATATAAACTCAGCTCAGAGAGTGTGAACTGGCAGTACAGTGGTAAAGTAGCTGCGCCCCCCCCCCCCCCATGAACATACGGCCTTGGACGTGATTTTAAAACTTCGGCAGATCCTAACATTTTTATTATTAAATTTAACATGTGAATAATATCCCGGTACGTAAAGAAGATCCCTTTATTTGCAACCGGTCAGTAATTTTCGTCAAAATTACAAACAACACATTCGTACTCTTCTGACTTAGCGTCATTTTCAAGAAAATGAATAAAACTGTACTAGTAAGGAATCGATTTATGTAAAAGGCGAACAGTAATATAGCAATATTAAGATGTGCTAGCTAGTTTTTTTCCATATGCTTACGCGAGTTACCGACTGGTAGCAGTTCTATGGATGGGGTTCTCATTTACTACAAACCACACACTGCGCACCCACCGAGGGTGGCAAATGCTAGTACGTGAACTGCTGTCGTGTAATATGAATCTTCCATGGCGGCTCATACAGTGACTGATATACCGGCTGCAGGTATTGTGTAATATCGGCTTAAGGGATGTGCTGTATTCCGGTCTGGTCACTTGAAGGAGTGGGCAGAAGGAAGCTCCAACGGGAGAAAAGAAATCGTTTGGCGCAATTCAAACAAGGCGTTATTAATTACTAGAGACATACAAAATTCGCCTTATTATTTGGTGACACGTCATACCTACTTCAAGCACATACACGTTTGCACTACGGGTTTTTTTTTACCATAATTCATTTGATATGTCCTGTGTAGATCGGCACCAATACAAGACTTCGTAATGGTGTGCCCGGACAATGTGCAGTTCTGTCAGAAGAGGAACATCTGCACGCCTAGGCAGCCGCCAATGAACAGGGATCTGAAGAATTCGCGAATTCATTTTGGGACAAGATATAATTTAAAAAAAAAACCTGCGTTTATATAACTTTAGCCATTGGTCTACACGGTGTTTGGCACTTGCTGGATAACGGTGTCCAAATTTCGCTTTCCACTGTGACAGCAGACGACAAATATGTAATTGATATCGGCATATTTGTACACGGAGCAGTAAAGTCTAGTCTGCAGGTCACTAAACTCGCGAATTTGATGAGGCATAATGACGCAAATTTAGCACTAATTACATAGTAGACGAAGCTGTCACACCCAGTGCTGTTACGGGACGCAGAGATATTCAGAAAAGAAGCGCAGTGGTTCTGTGGCTCAACTAGTAGACCGTCTGACTCCAGATAGGAAGGTTACGTGTTCGAGTCACGTCGGGGTCAACTCTTGGCGTGGTATTTTGGAATAGACTGTTCACAGTAAAATGAGCACTTTTGAAAGCCCTGCTTAAGATCTACTTGTATGCGCCTTATGTAAAATTTACGTTGTTATGGGCCTCATCACTTTATTCATGCGTCGGTGAACTGAAACGGTGAAATTATTAGAAAAGTAAATACTTAACAAATCTGCTTATTTTTACACTTTGATGAATTAAAAAACACAGAAAACAATGTTATTAGAAATGTTTGCCTAGCATTTTTTATTCGGCCAAGATACTGGACTACTTCCCATCTATTGTTACCAACATTTATGCAGGTAGGGGCAGTGACATTTTTCTAAGGTTGATTTCAAAAGAGCTCACTTTATCGTGAACAGCTTTAAACAGTATTCATCCCAGTGAAGGGGAGCTAAATACATGGAAGAAAAATATTATTACCCTCCGACGGGCGGTTCGAGTTTTATAAACGTGGTGCAGGGCGGAATGGAGGAGTAGGAACCGTCAGAAGCAGCGGGGTATTCTAACATGAGTTTTTTTTTTGTGTGGAAATAAGAAAATAGGACAACATTCATGAGGTCTGGAGGTATCGAATATATCACTTAGTAAATGTTCGAATTCAAACACGAATCGTAACATTTAAGCTCCTCCTAGGATTCTGAAAATAAGATATACGTTAGAGTTTAAAATGAACCGTAACTATTTCTCTGTAATCGCTTTTCTTTCCTTCTTTGCACCTGTGCTCTGTAGACTCTTAATCTTTCTTGTTATTATCTCTTTTTATGCAGGTTTGAAGGGCCTCTGGTTGTGAGGTTCAAGACTCCCAACCCTTGCTCATCCGCCCCTGCGTTGGTGTAGTGTAGATTTTCTTTCAGTAACTGTAAGGGACTTTGTGCTTGGCAATTACTTTAAGATCTGTCTTGATTATTCATATTTGATACTGAAGTACATAGCTCATTTTATACTATTACTTTATATCTACAGATGCCTAGAAAAATAATGCTTAACGATTTAATTCAAAGTATTTAAAATACAGTCTATATTTGTTCATATAAAGCTACTTAACACAAAATCGAGCACTTTTTTTTCGATCGTTAAGATTTTAGGGCCGAGAACCTTATTTCCTGTATTATTTTATAACATTGCTATGATTGTGTGATTCAGTTATAGAATGTAGGGTGATGCGTGTTTCAGACTTCAGAAATAACTCCAACATGCAAGAGAAAATTGATTTTGAAAATGAAACTGGGAGAATTAATAAAGAAAACTAAAATGCTGCAGTATGAATATGCGTGATTCATTATAATTCTGAGAATTTTAGTGATGAAGAATTCTGCTGGACAAAAAAAAAATGTCTTCTCTTTGTAGTGGAAACGTACGATGCCCAGACGTTGCACTTAAATACTGGCTCATTTTGGAAGAATGAGAGTAGAACTACTCCAGATCTCATTTTAGTTAGCTGCTTGCAAAGTTTCTAGATCACAGAATATCGATAAAAATTCAACATTTAAATCCAAACTTGAAAAGAAATCACAGTGTGCTGATATAAAACGAGTTCGTGGAATACTCGTAAATTACAGTGTTACGCAATTTATTAATGTTTTTGCAGATATTAGCTTCCCTGGTAGGAGCCTACGTTGGCCCAACGTTGGCATCTAGTTGGAAAAGCAGGCTATATGATGGGCTGGAACACACACTTCAATACAATGTTGGCCCAACGTAAAATGGCAATTAAATTTGATAGCACGAGAATGTTATGAGATTACTTAGTACACCGGAAAATTATGTCCCTAAACCAGAAAATTCCATAACCTATCACAAGTGTAGTTTATTTCGTAATTTAAATGGTTGACCGTTGATAATAGGTATGTATTTTACTGTTGGGCCAACGTTGGGCAACAAATCTATATTTTATATAAAAGGTTGGAACAAACTTATTGGATGAACACAATGCCACTATATTGTATTTTATAAAATATAAAGTTTTTTTATTGTTCAATACCTGAATATTTCGCTTAAAAATATATCTAGTTGGATAATTGTTGTTTCATTGGTAGGAACACAATGGTTACTAATCTGTAGCTACTAATTGTTTAATTGAGCAAACATTATGTAACTAACATTATGGCAACAATATAACTACATCTTACTGACGAAATAACAATATAATTGTGTATAATTCATAAAAGCAATGTTTTTAACATACAAACCATGTCTTTCTTAAAATTTATTTCTATGGTATGTGTTGGTTACTTGTCGAAAAACATACTGTCGACAATTCGAATGGTAACTTATGTTGGGCTAAGATTATGTAACCAATATCTTGCCAACAGTGGTAATTACCAAATTTCTGGTGAAATAACACTCTAATGTGGTATGTTTGTTTGTAAAGCTAAATTTAAAACACACAAACTATATCTTATTTAAAATTTATTTCGTTGGCAATGTATTGGTTACTTGTCGGACAACATAAGTTTGGCATTTGGTATGCAAACTTTTGTTGGGCAAACATTGTGTAACCAACATTATGCCAACAACGGTAATTGCCACATTTCTAAAATAATTCGCAGGCTTTCGCGGCCACTATCGTCAATTGCTAGGCTTTTGGGTTTGAGCCGCATCGTGAATTTTTTCTCCAACGTTTCGGCAGTCGTTGCAGCAGCCATCATCAGGGAACAATGCTTGACCAATTGAGGACAGTCCAAGGAAAAAACCCTTGTATATTCTGATTTCTGGAGGGCTGTTTCCTGATTGGCTGGGCTCTTGGGCCAATCACAGGGTGTCTTCCTCCTGATTGGCTGAGGTGGTTGGCCAATTCTTGTGCGGGTGTAGTCTCTACCCTGATCGGCTGGACTCTCTGGCCAATGCAGTCTGTCCCCCTCCTGATTGGCTCAGATGGTCTGCCAATCCTGGCGAGTCTGTGTCCTCTGCTCTCGCACCACAGGATTTCAGATTTTTTATGAAGAGATTGGCCCATATGTTGTTTAACTTGTAACCATCTTCTATGTTGATGTTATTCGGATGTTTTAATATCTCTATTGATTCTCTAATGGTTCTTGGTCTGTATAGTAGTCACCTATTGCTGAACACTCCATGAAAACCAAACATAGTATTGATTTTGACAAGCACAGTACAAGAGTCAACATACGAACTATTTTAGCACAGACATTATTTAAAAATAAACTGTCTGGTCATTATTTTGAAAATATACATTTATTACTGGTAGGTAGTCGTACATTTGACAAACGTCTCATAGTTTTGGCATTTCGTTGGTAAAGTTGAAAATACATTGTGTTTCAATCCTAATATTTGGTCTACGTTTTTGAATACAGATTTACTTAATGTTGAGTTGTAATTCTTTTTTCGTTAATAATATCTAGGGTATGTAAAGCTAAGGAATTAATAGTGGAATAATGTTAGTTTATTTCACTTAAAATTTGTTTGGCACGGTGATGGGCATAGTGGAATGTATGCTGGTTATGTTGAAATAAAAACTGGCATGTGCTTTTACACACAAGTTTTCGTTACAGTTTAACACATATGTGAACGAACATTATCTTTGGACATTGCTCATAATTTTTTTTTAATCACGAGCTTTGACTCAACACAAGATTTAAAAATAAATTTCACGTGCCATAATAGATAGTGTGTAAGGCGTAAACTTAATTACATCAGTTTACTTCTCATGAATAATGTATTTACATACATTTTCAAATATTAAAATCTGATAGTCTATATACATTGAAAAATATCAGTTTTAGGGGCCGCAGTGGTTTAATGGTTAGCCTTATCGCCTCCCACCACGGCAAATCGGGTTCAATACCCAGCCGGGTAACTCCGGCTTTTTGCAAGTGGGAACCATGCCAGACGAAGCCGCCGGTTTACGGGTTTTCTCGGGGATCTCCCGTTTCGCACGTTTCTAATTTTATCATTAACGGCTCCCAAGACCTCGTTGTTATTAGCCACCCAAATCTCTCAGCAACAACATCAGTATTTTGTATTGAACTGCAATACTCTATACGAGCTTACTGCTTAAACTCTGCCGCGAAGGCAAGTCATGCAGTGGATTAACGTATCGAGCTCGTAACCCAAATGACGAGAGCTCAAATAGAGTGTTTGCCATGGAGATTTTCCAATCATAATATGAAAGGAAAGGTAACTCATATACTAAAGGCTGTTCACGGTAAAATGAGCACTTTAGAAAACCCTGCTGAAGATCTACTTGTATGCACGTTGTGTATTCTTCCGCCTTATGTAAAATGAACACTGCCATGGACCTCATCGCTTTATTCGTGCGTCGGTCAAGCGAAACAGTGAAATTATTAGAAAAGTAAATATTTTACAAATCTGCTCTTTTTTACGCTTCGATACATTAAAAAAACACAAAGCGAAAGAAAGAAATAATTTAAGTTATCACAAATGGTTACCTCACACTTTTAATTTGACGTTAAGATATGGAACTATTTCCCATCCATCATTACCAACTTTACTGAGCGTACGTCACTCAGCGCGCCTGTTATAATATACGGAAGCAACGGCTGTGACTTTTTCTAAGTTGATTTCAAAAGTCCTCATTTTACCGTGAACAGCTTCTATTAGGGTTAACACTTACATTTTTTTTGTTAATGAGTAAAATTTATTTAAAACAGTGGTAACCAACATTGGCAGAATGTTGTTTATTGGTTGGCATCATGTTTCAATAACACATCTTGCCAGCACATCGCAAATGTGGAAACATGTTAGTACATTTTTGGTTGTTAAAAAAAACTGCTTGAAAGCCTTTCTGAAAGAAAATTACAATATTCTTAAAATTGTGCACACAACCATAAAATTATCTTGGGCCAATGTTGTATTTCAGTTGCCAACCAACCTAAAAGTCATGTTGGGCCAACGTAGGCCCGCGTGACATTTAGGCATTGGGCCAACGTAATATAGAATGTTGGCCCAACTGTAGAGCTCAACATTGGGCCAACATTGGCCCAAACAAATGTTACTACTGGGGATACT